GTGCCCCTCTTCCGTCTTCAGGACGTGTGCTATCACTTGGAAAACTTGTGTCAAAGGAACAAAAGGTTTTGTTTCTTTACAGAAACATAACTTTGGAAGTGATTTCCCCTTTCCCTCTCAACACCAGAATTGTTTTGAATGTATGATTTTTCACCTACACTTCCTTCTCCTTCTTTATCATTCAGCTCACTCACTGGAAACCAATCCCCAGCTATTCAGATGCGGTAACTCAGATAAACAATGCAGCTTTCACAAGGCTAATGCATTGAGCGTGGCAAGCGCTGTTTCAGAAACCAAACAGAGCCTGTTGAATGAAGTACCAAATCTTATGTGTTAAAGATGGCCTCTCGTAGTTTACTCTTATGGGGACATGATTTCAATGCAAATATATGTGAGTCTACGTTACAGTGTGCCATGTTGAAATGGGTCCTACTATTAGGTTTTATGAGGTCTGAGGTCTTTCCTGGCTGGGTTTGGTGAAGGTGACTTGGAGAGACGGAGAGACAGCTCTTTGCAGTAGGATAAAACCCCAAACTGCTTGCTTGCCCTTCTCCCTAGTCTCTAAGACCGCCAGTGAGTCCACAAGTGTGTGTGTATATTGTGTATGTGGTGGGGGGCAGTGGTACATATGTGTGCAGTCGTACCTCTTAGTGATGGAAGGAAGGACGTGTGTGAAAAACTCTGTAAGAGGGAATGGCAAATGATCAGGCCCAGAAGGTTATCTGAGGCTCTGAAGCCAGATCTGTGGGCAGGAGGTCAGGGGCACGGCCATGATTACATAAAGAGATGGCCATCTACCAGTCTCCCACACCTGGGCAATGAGAAAAAGGCAAAGGAAGAAATTAGTGGTTATGGACCTTTTGGTCCTATTGCATTGTTATCTGCCTTTCCTACCCCATATCAAAGTCTAACTATCTTCAGAAAAACTCAGGAACTCTAGTTCTGGAAGAACTAAAGTCTCCAGGAAAAGGGATTAGGGGCTGCTTAGAATAATACAAAGTGTGTGTGTGTGTGTGTGTGTGTGTGTGTGTGGTCTCTAGAGTCCTAATCTCCAGTATGTAGCATCCACAAGGAACAGAGCTCCCATACCCACAGCTTAATGTGAGCACTGAGCCCCACAGTCTATAAATCTTGAGTTGGAAGAATGAAGGCAGAATACAAGCAGATTCCCGCATTACTGGTAATCTCTCTATCCTCAGCTGGGTAGCTATGTTTCCTTCTCTTTCCGGACTGTGAATATTTAATTATTTCCTTCTTTGTCTTTGAAACCAGGAGGTACCGTGATTGAAATAACATTCAAAATAAAGGGGTGTGGAAGAGTCCCAAGTCCACAGAGCAACTGCCTTGCACATTATTTTGCCTAGCATGTACAAAAAGAAGAAGAAGAAGGGAAAGGAGAAGGAGGAGGAGGAGGAAGAGGAGGGGGCAGAGGGTGAGGAGAAAGGAAAAACAAAAGGGGATAGCAGATCTGGACAGCTCAAGCCCTCACAGAGTTAGGTTACTTCAATAAACAAAGGTCAACAGTCACTCTCTTTGAGCTTCTATGCTCAGTTGGTGTGTATTTGCGTCCTGGGGTTTAGGACAAGAATTTGCACTGGTGATTTCAATATGGGGGGTGTAAAGACAGGGACAACTAAAGGGTAAGGGGACCCATCTCTTACTCCCATCAATGCATTGACCTCTGATTTAGGTCCCTTCTTTCAATCCTAGGTCCCTATAAGCAAAAGTGTTCCATTACAAAAGGGGCCTTATCTGGCATTGTCCACTCCCAGTATGTGAAATCGTTTTTTGTTGTTGTTGTTGTTGTTTTTTGGCTGTGCGTCTACCCAGCAGAAGAGAAGGGGAGAGTTGAATGCATTAAAGACAGCCATCAGAACTGATCAAAACCCCCTGCTCTTGTGGTCTTTTAGTATCAACAACTACTTCTTTTGCTCTATTTTCAATTGTAATTGGCCAGCACAGCTTTGCATCCTCTGACGAAATTGTCTTTACAGATGAGCTTCCTCAAAGACAGCGCGGCCCCATTTAAGCTCAAGTTGATGCGGCGAAGTGAGGCGCTCTCGGCTCCTGTTGGAGAGGGGAGCCTCGCGGCTACCAGGCCCCGGGAAGCCCTAGCCTCTCTGCCCCCAGAGCGTCCCCGCCCGTCTCAATTGCTCTGGACCAGTTCATTTCGCCACAGCTCGGAGCCGCTCGGAAAGCAAAGATTAAAGGGGAAAGTCGCAGCTGTATATTTATATTTTCATTGCTAGAAGGGAATTGATTTCCGTGCATTTATTTTGGTAGTTGTAATACACAAGGGCGGATTTGCGTCACCCGAGCAACTTGTCGGTGGAGATAAAGTTGCACAAATATTGAAAGGGGAAGTGCTAGGAGTCATTATAGAGTTTTTCTCCGGAAGAAATAAGGATTTCTGCAGTATCCTAAAATACTAACGCCGCTTCTATTTTGAGACCAATCTCGCAGGCACATCCGCTCATTTAGTACGAGTTTGAGCCCATCAAAAAAACAGGAGATGACCTGAACTCCGGCGAGCCCGGGGTTTCCTGCTGCTTTCTTGGTTCTGGGGGGTGGGTAGTCAGGAGGAGGGGAGTCAGCGGGCTCCGAAGAGGGCGAGGGGCCCACAGCCTTGAGACCTGATCCTGGGGAAGGGGTGTGTGTCGGGGGTGAGGGGCGGTGGGGGAAGCAGAGGGTCCTTCCACAGGTTTCCTTTTTGGCCTTTCCCTCCAGGTGGCCCGGGTGGTGCCGGCACGGTTGCAAAGGACCCGAGGGCCTGGAAGAGCAGGGGCGCGCGCAAGAAGTTGCAATTTAGAACCAAGCCGCGGCCTTTCGGGGACACAGAGGAGGAGCGCGCAGCCGGGCTAGGAGTCCGCAGGAGAACCCTGCTCCAGGGTCTCGGCTCCGCCCCGCCTGCCCCTGGCTCCGGGCCTTGAAATGCTACAGAAGCGGGTCGTGGATGCCTCGGGACACCCAGAGGGTCCACGTTCCGCCTAGACTGCACGCAGCGCCCACCCCGAGAGTCTTATTGGGGGCTGAAGGCAGGGGTGAGGCCTAAATATGCCTCCTTTAGAACCTTGAGTTTGAACTTAGGCGCTGCTGATTGAATGTTTGCAGTCAAACTGGAATTAGAAGTGACACTAGAAAAAAGAAGAAAAGGGGGTTTATGCCCGTTCTCACACACACTGGCGCTGGTGACTGTCCCTGGGATCTGTGAAGGCCTCACTCTTCCAGCGGAGTCCCCCAACAGTCCCTGCCCCTGTCTGCAACACCCCCACTGGGGCACTTGAAGAAGGATCCAATGCCCCAAGCGGCCTTATACCTGTCACTCCTTTGCCTCTGGCTAGAAAGGGGTCTGGTCTTCCTGGATCTCTTGCCCCAGATGCCAGTGTCCTCAGGCGATCCAACCACTTCATATCATCTCTGGAAATAACATCTTTGTCCCTGCAAGTCACGAAAACCCTTCAGTAAAAAAGCGACCTAGAGACGGAGAAAGACAGGGAGCTGATGGAGGCACAGGTAGGGGACAGGCGTGTCCCAGGGCTGCCTCGAAGAAGGGATTGATCACTTTCCTGGAGAAAGTCAAAAGCTTAAAATGACAGCATCTGCCACAAGAGGCCAGAAATGACTAGAAATAAATTTAAGCAGCCCAAATCCTGAATTTGACCTAGGTATGGCAAATTCAGTTGCCTTCCTGGGTTGATTTGGAAAGACCTCTTTGGGACGAAGTGAAATAAGAAATGTCACAGAAGCTTTAATGCAATTGTATTAAAAGTCTTTTGGGGGGAGGGAGACATGCGACAGAAGCACAGAAGTTCAATTAAGAGATGCTTATTAGGGCAATCGAAAACAAAAGATTACGTGGTTTCATTATTGTTATTATTTTATTTTCTTCCTGAAAATGTGCAGGAAGAGCTCATCTGGGTGGCCTGTGGTTTGTTTGGGAGAGGGGTGGGGAAATCCATTCTGACCGTAATTTAAAAGAGAACGAATTCTTAAAACAGAGATGTTGATGTTGCAGAAAACCCCACTACATCCACTCTGCGCTCTAAAGACCCAAAGCACGAATGGACGGCGTTGGTCTCCACTGCAACTTCTTCTGCGACCAGGCCCAAGGGGTTCCTGGGGAAACAGTCACTGAATTGAAAGTAGTATTTAACCCCAAGGAAATGTGCACTTGCAAAACAATGGACCCCACGTGATCTGGGGATGTGGTGGAGCTGGGAGGGTGACATTTCCCACAAGGTGCAGCAGAGAAGGGGACGCGCGTGCCGCTTTCCCGGGTATCGGAGGGCGGCCTGTTTGGTTGTAGCTTGAGGCTCGGGAGAGGGTTTGGCTGCGTCCAAGGGAGAGGTTCGGAGACATCCATCTTATTTTGTTTGAAAAGTTACTCGTCCAAATTGTCACTGAAGCTAATTGGCGATCGCCCCTCCCCTCCTCCGTGAGGATCTCCGAGGCTGCGAGGCGGCCGCAGGGCTAAACTGGGCGGGGACTTCGGACCCCAGCTTTCCCGCGCCAGAGCTCAGAGCGGAGCCGCTCGGCAGCGGGAGCCCACGAAGGAAGAGGACGGAGAACGGCAGAGCGAAGACAAATCAGGCCCGAGTGAAGTCAGGAGGAGGGAACCTAGGGGGCCGCCCCCGTGCTCCAGGAGGCGGGCTTTGCACCCGTGAAAATACACGGGAGCACCAGCCACTCTGGGTAAAAGCTAGCGCTGGGACCAGCTCTCTACGTCCGATATCGGTCTGGAGCTGCAGACGTTAGCGGAGGGTCAGAATTCCTTGGAGGCGCCGCCCGGGCCGTTACGCGCGGGACCGCGCTTAGCCCACGCAGCAGCAGCAAACACTTTGGCGTGGCCGGGGCGTGGCCGAGGCGGTGGGCCACGCCCCCTTTCCCAATTCCCCCCACTCCCCGCTCCCATTGGTCACGAGGATGGCCAATGAGCGCTCGGTTCGAGGTCCTACCCTGGGTCTGACTCCAAAGCTCCTGCCAAAACTTTGGGAGTTTTTAGAGAGGAGTTTTTTTTTTTTTTTTTTTCCTTTTTTTTCTTTTTTTTTTTTTTTTTAAACTAACGGATTATTATTGTTGTTGTTTTAAATTTAGCTCTTAGGGCTTAGCTGTTTGGGTTTTCTTTCGGTGCCGGCCCCTGTCTCCCCGGCTTCCCCGGCGTGTGCGGAGCCGCGGCCCCCGCCGCCCAGCCGCTCCAGCGCCCCTCGCTCGCCTCCAGCCCGCGGGGAGCGCGGGCGCCGCGCTGCCTTTAAAGTGAGACCAGGGGCCGCGGCTGTGACCGGCCGGGATCCGGGCCTCGCCTCTTCCCTCGGCGCTAGGGCTCCCTGGCCTGTGTTCGGTGCGGACAGAGAAGCGAAAGCGGATCGTCCCCGGCTGGACCGCCGCTGGCCCCGGGACTCAGCGCTCTCCCTCCGCGCACCCACCCACCCACTCGGCCGGGCCCGGCCCGGCCGCGGCGGCAGCTCGGCGCACCCAGCCAGAATGTTCGCCGCCGGGCTGGCTCCCTTCTACGCCTCCAACTTCAGCCTCTGGTCGGCCGCCTACTGCTCCTCGGCCGGCCCGGGCGGCTGCGCCTTCCCCTTGGACCCCGCCGCGGTCAAGAAACCCTCCTTCTGCATCGCAGACATCCTGCACGCCGGCGTGGGGGAGCCAGGGGCGGCCGCGGAGGGTCTGGCGGGGGCCTCGGCCGCCGCCCTCACCGCGCATTTGGGCTCGGCTCACCCGCACGCCTCTTTCCAAGCGGCCGCCAGATCCCCGCTTCGACCCACCCCCGTGGTGGCGCCCTCCGAAGTCCCGGCTGGCTTCCCGCAGCGGCTGTCTCCGCTCTCAGCCGCCTACCACCACCATCACCCGCAGCAACAGCAGCAGCAACAGCCGCCTCAGCAGCAGCAGCCTCCGCCTCCACCCCGGGCTGGCGCCTTGCAGCCACCGGTCTCCGGGGCGCGGGTGGCTCCAAACCCCCCGCACAGCGGCTCGGCCCCGGCCCCCTCTAGTAAGGACCTCAAATTTGGAATTGATCGCATTTTGTCTGCAGAATTTGACCCCAAAGTCAAGGAAGGCAACACGCTGAGAGGTAGGTCTTGGGCGAGAGGCTGCAGGCCTCTTACCACGGCCCTGGCGCACTCACTCCCCGGTCCCAGGGCCATTTGGGATGCCTTCGAGTATTTGCACAATTAAGGACAAACGGGTAAAATGAGGGACAAGTGAGTGAACTGTAAGAAGACTGTGAAACGATAGGTTTAAAACTCACCTGCTCCGCGTTAAAAAAAAAAAAAAAAGATTCCAGGGATACTTTAAAAACGCACGTTCCGGAATCATTACTCATAAAAATCGTTGGTCTAAATATTTGCTGAAATGACTATCATCTGTCTCTTGAATCTCGTATGGAGAGAGAGAACTATATTAATTTGAGAGGGAAAGCCCTTTTGGGGAACACTTTCTCTTGCATTTATCTGATTTCTAGTGAAATTCCACTCAAGGAATGTAGATAAACAAAATAGAGTCTCGGCTCCCAAGAGAAGGCAGAGTTGGGGCTCCTTCACGGGGGAGGGGGCAGGTCTGTGGAATTCTCGCCAGGCACCTGGAAGTGACTTCCTTTTGGCCGTTTTATGCAAAGCCCTTCCTTGCTGTACGTGTGGACTGTGGACGTAGACCTATGGGCTACACGCAGGAACACTTTGCGCATCGCCCCTTGGCCACTGTCGGGAGAGAGGGGTTTTGGCGCGGAGACAAGGGTCTCTCGTGACTTTGCTCCAGGAAAACCCAGTCGAGGGGGATGGGAGGAACAACTCAGCCCGAGAGTGTGATTTTGCCCGAGGTGTAACCGGCTCTTCTTTTCCCTCCTCTCCAGACCTCACCTCCCTGCTAACCAGCGGGCGGCCCGCAGGGGTGCACCTCCCCGGCCTGCAGCCCTCCGCCGGGCAGTTCTTCGCGTCTCTAGATCCCATTAACGAGGCTTCTGCCATCCTGAGTCCCTTAAGCTCGAACCCGAGGAATTCAGTTCAGCATCAGTTTCAAGACACGTTTCCAGGTACGGAAACCCTCCCAAGCGACGGCTTAATGGGGCAAGTCGACTGACTCAGGAGTGACGCCTCACGTGGCCCCGTCTGTGCCCCAATCCCGGAGTTGGTGCAGGAGGCTACCAAGTCCGGAGACAGAAACCGAAAGAGTTCTCAGATAGCTAGCTCGCTCTTCCGTCGGCTCCCTGGGGGCAGGGAGGTGGGGGGCCTGGGGGTGCAGAGAAGGTGTGTGCGTGGGCGGGCGGGGTGGGGTGAAGGGGCTTTCCCTAGTCTTTTCGCCAGAGAGTGGCTTGAAAATGCAGCAAGAGGTGTTGCTTTTTAACATACACAGAGTTAGGAGTGACCTCGGACACTTTGTCCAAGGAGGTTCCGTCTTGCAAGAACACGTTGGCAAGAACGTGTACATACACACACGTACACACACGAGAGTCAAAGCTGTCATCTCCCCATCCTTCAGGCCCAAGGGACATTTTCGCATGCCCCAAAGGCCACGTGTTAGGTTTATGTTTTTTCTTTGGAATTAATCGACAAAGCGCGGGACTTCTCCACACCACCCTCGCTTTCGGCCTTGAGCCTGAAGTCTTAAGAGCTGTAGGATTCCTTTTTAGAAAGGCCATTCCAGGTCTGCGTGAAGGGCTCTCTGAATGGGGGCCGCTGTTCACGCAAAACAGTCTAAAGCAGCACGGCGAGTCCCGGGCCCGCAGAGCACGGACGGGGGCACTGACGGGGCCCCCTGTCTTTCTCTTGCTCCCGCTACCGCCGGGCGGCAGGTCCCTACGCCGTGCTTACGAAGGACACCATGCCGCAGACCTACAAAAGGAAGCGCTCCTGGTCGCGGGCGGTCTTCTCCAACCTGCAGAGGAAAGGCCTGGAGAAGAGGTTTGAGATCCAGAAGTACGTGACGAAACCCGACCGAAAGCAACTGGCCGCGATGCTAGGCCTCACGGACGCCCAGGTAAGCCGGCTCGGGCTCCCGCGCCCAGCCCCCTCGCGGGGTGGGGGGCAGCAGCAGCGCGGCCTGGCCCCAGGCCTCCCTCCACCCCGGCCCACTCCGCGTTTGCCGGGGAAACGCATGATCTTGGATTTCTGGAGACATTGTAGGCATCGAAACTTGAGTCTGGAAGAGGGGGGGATGGGAGGGAAAGAAGGACGGAAAGAATAGCCCATCCCCAAAGATGTATGTCAACAAGTACAGCCTGTTTATTTTGGCCAACAGGCGAAAGAACCGCGGAGAAAGCAAATAGGCCGCGGGAGATAATTATGTACTCGACTGTAGTGCCATTCGCTGTAGGAGGCAGTTTATTTCGGAAGAGATAAAAATCCAAAGTCAAGAGATTGTTGGTTTCTTTCTTTTTTTTTTTTTCTCCTCCCGTCCTTCCTCCCTCCTCCTCCTGCTGCTGCCGCTGGATTGTGAAATCCCCATTTGTGAGGAAGTGAAAACATCATTTCAAACGGAATGACTTAGCCCCAGCAGGGCCAGGAGTGCACACAGCAGCAGCCACAGTCCCGCCGACTTTCTAACGGCATAAGCTCTCAAGAAAAATCTGGGGGGGGGGGGGGGGGGAGAGAGAGAGAAAGAAAGAAAGAAAGAAAGAAAGATTTTCTTAAAACACCCAAGAGCGTTTCAGCAGGTTCTGTCTCCTTGAATTTTTTTTTCAGGACAATGGCGAATCTGCCGTGTTGGAGTTCAATTTCTGAATTCAATTTTTTTTCTTTTCTCCAAGAACTGGACTTTTTTGGGGGGGTGGTTTGAAAATAGAAGAGTCACCATTCTTCCAAACCCCACAGCGGTGACCTTTGCTCCCTGGGGGTTCAATGTTCTGAGTAGGGCAGAAGTCAAAGGCAGGTACCTTTTCATAGCTCCTTTAGGGTCCCCCTCGCCCCCCCCCCCACCTTGTCTTTCTGTCCTCCATTACACAGCTCCCCTCCCCAACACACGGTGGAAGAGCCCAGCCGTTTTCCACCAGCTGTGGATGTTATTTTTAAAAGGGAAGCTGGGACTTGTGTGAACAGCACTGGGTCCCCCAGGGGACTGTATATATTTATATAGATTATCCACCCCATCCCTACCCCCTTCCTTCACTTTGCACAGGTTTAATGCGGGCATATTCTAAGGCTGCAGAAGGAGGAGTTCATCCCAGCCAGGGGCAGGGTCCTTATCAGCTTCTGAGTACACACATGCCAAGGAAATGCTCCTCTACTGATGGTCCGGCAATGCCCCCACCCCAGTGGGATTAACTCTTTGAACCCACTTTTCCCTCTGTGTTTCCCACGGTTTCTCTTTAAGAATTGCTTTTGTAGAAACTTGTCTTGGGTGCTGGCAGTCGAGGAGGGGACCAGCTTTGCAGGAATTCTTAACATTGGTTCACCAAACCCTTAAAATCCTGGGTATTTTTTTTTTTTTTTCTGGGCCAAGGGTCCATAACTTAATCAGATTCTTGGGGAGTCCTGGCTCAAGTGGGGTTAAGAAGCATTGATTTAGAACAGAAATCGCTTCGTTTGAGGGCGAGGTGCAGGACTCCGCCTTTCGGAAAGCATCCAAGTTATTTCAGGACCCGGTCTGGAGGGCTACATTTTGAGAAACAGTTCTCGTGGGTTCCCTAGGCGAGGGTCCCCGGCGATGTCGTTGTTTTCCTGGGCTGCCTCCCGGCGCCGGAGCCGAGCCCAGTGCCCAGTGGCAGAGGTACTGGGGCCCCGGGCTCCAGGCTGCGCGCGAGCCGAGCGTCGCGAGCCCACGTCTCATCTCGGTGTCCCTTCTTGTCTTCGCACGTGCTGCGGCGCAGGTGAAGGTGTGGTTCCAGAACCGGCGAATGAAGTGGCGGCACTCCAAGGAGGCCCAGGCCCAGAAGGACAAGGACAAAGAGGCGGGCGAGAAGCCGTCGGGCGGAGGAGCGGCTGCGGACGGCGAGCAGGAGGAGCGGAGCCTCAGCCGCTCGGAGGGCGAGGCCGAGAGCGAGAGCAGCGACTCCGAGTCTCTGGACATGGCCCCCAGCGACACGGAGCGGACTGACGGGGCCGAGCGGTCTCTGCACCAGACCACGGTCATCAAGGCCTCGGCAGCGGGCGCCCTCCTCCCGGCCAGCGGCTGTGGGAGCGCGGGAAGCGGCGGCGGCAGTGGCGGCTTCAGCTTCGCCAGCCTCGGCGGCGGCGGCGGCGGCGGCGGTGGCGCGGGGAGCGGGGGCGGCGGCGCCTCGGAGCTGCTGCCGGCGCCCCAGCCCACCCTCAGCGGCGCTCCGCAGAGCCCCGAGCCCTCCCAGGCACCGCTGGGCGGCCCGTAGACTGCACGAGGCAGGGCCCCGGGGCCCGCGTGCCGCCCCCAGCCTCCCAGGGTGGGCTGGATTTTGCGCCTGCTTTGTGTTGGCGGTGGGGCTGGGACCGGAGACGCCGCAGCGGAGCTACCTTGCCCAAGGTCCCAGCTGCCCATCGCTGTCGCGCTGGTGCCCAGAGCCCAGGGGGCCCCGCCCGAGGACCCGGCGCCGGCCAAAACTTCTCCCCGGCAGCGAGCAGTTCATACTGTGAAGTGTCGGACGAAACAGCTTCTCCCCGCACTCCGGGGGGTTGTGGCGCAAAGACGAGCTGCACTTAGGACGCCATGAACTTGTAAATAAAATGTTTACTACGGTTTGTAAAGGCCGCTTGGTTTGCTGGGGCCGCGCAGTCGTGAAAGCCGTGGATTAGCCGCGCTGGGGGCACAGCAGGTCACAGCAGCTGGAGGTGGGGGACTAGGGCTTTTGGGATTGGCGGAAGTCCTGCAACCTCAGAGTCACCTTGCTGCCCAGATAGGCTTCAAGTTCAGAGGCCTCCTTGGCCATAAACTTTGCTTCCCCGCCACTGAACCGGTGTTCCATGACCCTGAGTGTGGCCAGAAGGCAGAGGTGGTCACAGAAATGGTTAGTCCCGTGGGGCAGATGGCCTCCCCACCCTGAGTCAGGACACTGAGTGGGCCCCTGGCCTTTCCTTTGCTAGCGAGTATCCAGACTTGGAGCGGAGAAGATGGTGAGGCAGGTGGCCAGTTTAGCCACGGTGGGTGCTTACAAAGACGGCCACTCAAAGTCCTAAGTCCACAGCGGAACTTTTAGGCAGTTCCAACACAAACCGCCCCTTGCTCAGGATGTCTAAGTGGAGGAGGTAGTGTCCTGGAGAAAAGACAGACAAATCACAGTCCTTGGAGCTGAAAAGGCTGGGCCTGAGAAAGTTTTAAAGGTGCCCAAACAACCGTGGGGCAGGGAGGTGACTTGTTCAAGGTCACACCCAGGCAATAACCCGAACCAGAGCTCAGACCTCCTGGCTCTCAAAACTGCATCTCAACCCCCTCCTCAGGCACACAGTCTTCCTTGCAGTTAAGCCCCTGGTGACGCCCAGTGAGTCTCTCCGCAGCCCCCAACCCCCAAGCAGCCAGGAGACCAGCGCCCCGTTTCCCAACCATATTGCCACTGAAATACCAGTTTTGCTTCCACACTGCAACTGGAACGGGCCATTTAAGGGTTTTCGTTTTGTTTTTCAAAGGCTGAAGACCTGTCCTCTCTTGGCTCTCCTTTCCTCAAAATGAAATGTCCGGAGTTGGTATAGAGTCCTTTTGCGAGATTTAAAAACAGACTGCCAACAAACCTGACCACGCGGGGCTGTTTGGCACTGAACTCTGGCCAGGGAACAAGGCTTCTCACAGGCCCACCATCCAGGTTAAGAGTTGGTTCTCTGGTAGGATGTCTTTCTGTAGAGAGTGGGATGCTCAGGTCAGCTAGCCCGGGACACATCTCAGTCCCCTGGCTGGAGTGAGGAGGCTCCTAGTGGCTCCCAGATCCGGCTAGCTTCTTCCCCATTTTAACTCACTGACTTGCGCACATTAGAAGACCTCCATTTTAGAGTAGAGGCCCCAGATTTAGCCTTTGCTGACCTGGCACGGCACAGGGGTGCAAGGCTGGCCATTCCCTGCCCCAATCAACCTCCCAGCCTCCAAATGAAGCTGAACTCCTAGAGGAATGTGTGTAGTGGGGAGGGAAGTGGGAGCGATCAGGGTGGTCCAGTGGAGGAAGGAGAAAAGAGAGGTAGAGGGCTCTAGAAGGGACCTCGAGTTAAAAGGGAATGTGAGCCAGCTATTGTCTTTAAATATGCCCCCAGTTTCCCAGCAGAGCAGCCTCCACACCTGCTTGGGTTCTAGACTTTGGGGGGGGGCGTTCTTCCACCATTCCACAAACTCCGCTGCCCAAACAGCAGGATTCTCCCCATACCTCAGTTTTGCCTTCACTATCGAGATTACTTTCCTTTGACCCCCGAAATATTGAAATTCTGTAACCAGGACATCCCAAGGTCGTGGAATTTTGAGACACTTAAATCCGGAGCTGGCATTCAGGAGAATCTAGTACGGGAGCTCAGCTGGGAAGGAGAACTGGGGAGGAGTTGGTGCTTTAGGCACTGGGCAGCTACTCTGCCTCTCACAAGGCCCTCGAGGTGCCCGCTGCTCCAATCCCCCCTCACATTTCTCCTCCTGGGGCCCAGGTTTAAAAAGTGAAGGAAATAATCGCCCAGGACCGTAATGCTGTGATTTCAAGTACCGTTCCACTGCCAGGATCCGCTAGACCAGAGGGCGCAGCAAAGGTGGGGTACCGGAGGGAAATGCGCTGGGCGGGGAGCTCCTTGGGGTGGCACTGGGGATGCTCCTAGAGGGCTCCCAGGAGGCGCCCCTTTCTCCACCACCCCCGACCTCTCCTTGAATATCTTCCCCGTGAAACTCTAGCTGGGCTTTACCCTGGGCAGTGGAGTCCTTCCACCTTTTCATCAGGAACATGGTATCACGAGTCCAGGAGAAGTTTAAAGTTCATTTGCAAGAGGAGCAGCGGAAGGACGAAGAGCCCTCTCGAGGCCAGCCTGGTGGTGGGGAGCAAAAACCGCTTTTCGGGCCGGGTCCACTCATCCCGGGACTGCTCGCTTGGCCCAGGGATCGGGAATTTTCCCGCTGGTGTTGAGTGCTTGCAAGAGCGGCCAGGAAAGCTAGAAATTCTTGAACAAAGACAGAGATTTCTAATGCGCCCAAGAGAAAGCCGTGCGCGCTAGCTCCGCACACTCCAGGCCCGCCGAGGCCCGCCCGGCTGGGGCTCGGAGGGGGCAGCGGGTGCGCGCGGGCCGCGGATCTGAGCTGAGCTGCCACCCCCGCTTCCGACGCTCGCGGCCGGAGACTTGCCCTTACCGAAAAGCAGCAAGAACTCTGTCCGAGCCGGGTTCTGCCTCCCAACCGCAGTGGCCCCCGCGGCGCCCAGCCCTCGGAGCCAGGTTACCGAGGCGCAGCTCGGGGGGTGCCGAGGGCTGGCTGCCGCGGGTCTCTCTGGGACGGGAGGGGGTCTAATACCCTCCGGGGGCACGCGCGCGCACACCACAATTACACGCGTAGGCCACACATCCACACGTTTCCAGAGGTGCCCAGCCACGCAGACTCAGACACACACGGGGGAGACGAGGTACTGGCCATTTCAGACTCTTCTGATCAAAACCACACAAATAAAGTTTTCCCTTCTCCAGACGGCAAAGCAGAGCGAGAAGTCTCACGCCGCCTTCTTCTGCCAGGGTCGGTGCGTGGGGCGCTGGGCTCCAGAAAAGTCTGCCTGAGCCAAGCCTCGCCGACCAAAGCACTGAGAGCGGGCGCCGCAGTCCAGAGCTGGCAGGGACCCGGAGGTCCCCAGTTGCTGGGAACGCGTGGCCCTCGCTGCCCTGTGCCCCCCCACCACCTCCTTTCCCCGGAACCAAAGCTTTCCGGCCCCGTGGCACTTCAAGGCTAAATCCTGTCTCCAAGGGAGGCTCTGGCCCGCAGACCAGCCAAGGAGATCGCCCTCTGTTCTTACCCCACTACCACGCAAGGATTCGTGGGTACCATGTGTGTGCTGGGGTTGGGGGGCTTGCTCAGACTCCGGTTGTCACCAATTCCTCTGACTCCCTCCGCACCTCAGAGGGGACCAGTGGCTCTGGGATCTTTCCTGTGGCTGCTCCCTCTAGCTGGGGTCCTAAGGAGGGTGTTGGCGGGGGTTCTGGCCTGAGGCCATCGCCAAGCAGGTGATCTCCGAGTGTCCAGCCCTCTGGTCCCCCCTGTTCTAGGTGACCCCAGATTCCACTGCCGTGGGTCGGTCCCAGTCTCAGGGAACTTAAGGTCCTCAGGGTGGGGCAGGAACCAGGACCTGCGAGGGGGTGGGTCGGGGTTATTATGGGGGCGTTTCAGAATTGAGCTTTAACCCGTGTGGCTTTAACCTGTTGAGTTCGAATCTATTCCCGCATCAGACTCCAATTCCCCTCAAGCCCCTGCGGACCTCAAACCGACCCGGGTAGGCGGGGCTGGGATTGGTGGGTGGTGGTGGTAGGGGGGCTGGGGCAGCTCTGGAGCAAGAAATGGGGAAGAGAGGCAGGGGGCTGAGGTGGGTGCACCAATCTCCGGGTTGCCCAAGGGTCTCCTCCACCTTCATTCTTCTTTGAGAAGGAAGAGCTGGTTGAAGGAGTGAGAATTCGGCCTTCCCTACAGGACCGTGTGACCCTACTTTAAAGAGGGTGGAGAGGACTCTAAACATGAAGGGCCCTTGCATTCCCCCTTCTTTAGCCTTTGGGAAGGAGGCTGCACACTCCATGGTCTTTGTGAAGCCCCACCTATTGGGTTTCCGAGGGCTTTAACTGCAGGTATTAGGGCTGGGGGAGATATGTCCCGATTTAATTGTGCTCACGTACGCATCTGGCTCAGCGTCTTCCCTTCGAGGTTGTGAGGGTATTGGCCAGTGTCCTAAAGATAAATGAATGATGCAGGTTCTCCCCACGAATGCGGGTATTAAAACCTGCACTACACCCCCCCACCCCAGCAGCTCTTTGGACTTTCTGACTGCTACGCAAGGCGGTGTGTGTGTGTGTGTGTGTACTTTCTAAGCTATTCCCTCCTCCTCCCCCACCTGGGTTCCAACAGGCCCAGGCTCTGCAGCTCAGACAGGTAAGCTCAGATAACTGCTGGCCCTGGGGTCCCTTGGATGTGCTGCCTTCCATCATTTTATGAACAAGCATAGGAGTCCTGACAGGTGTGATTACTTCTGACTTCTTCATTTTAAGGATGGGGTAATGGAGTCTGGGTTCTTGACACTTGCCCAGTGTCCCTTGGAGGGTGATGCCAGGACTCGGATAAGGCTGTGGGGTTAGTGCTTCCTAAGGAGCAAAAGGAGAGGCGTCCTCTGGGATGCACTTGACCAACCAGATCCTGATCTGGATTGATACAACTCAGTGGCTTTTTAAAAAGGGCATAAGAGGTGTTGAGTCTTCGAGGGGAACTGTGAGTTCCCATTGGCCTACTTGGTCTTTGTCTGGGTAGTCCCTGAGAGATGACCCTCCAGGAGTCGAGGGGCATTGATACCCCACCCTTTAGCTTGTGCCACCATAGGTTTTGTTAATGTGTCTAAGGTCTGGACCACACCCTGCTCATGGGATAGTGCATCATCCTTGGTGATTTTCTAATCGCATCGGTGGTTGCTGACACATGGGTTTCTGGACAACACAAGGGGTTCGAGGCCTCATCGCTCTTGTCAGGCAGCCACTGCGCTAGCTCCTTCTCTCTCCCCCTGCCCTTGGACCTCGTCCCAGCCGGCAGATATGAGCCTCC